CTGACATGAAATTGAGAACAGCAATAAATAGCCATGTAGACATTATAATACAGCTTCCAACCATTTCCTGATTCAGCAACTTTCAGTTCTGACAACTTGTTTGCATTCAAAATATAATTATGTCTCACTTCATTTGTTGTCATCACAAATCCTTTTATACTTTACTATGCACCCAGATAAGAATGTAAGCCGATCTTTCTAAATAAAAAAAAGAAAGAATGAGAACATCCCACTATTCTCGAGATCCCAGGTGGCCCTAAGCACATAAAGCGACTTTTAAAAATTAGTGCTTATGATACCTTATGATAAATTTGATGGCAGTTGCTCCTTAAGTGCCTGGCCTTGCAACCGTTATCTAGCTTTATGACTTCAGAGTTGTCATGGCTATATAGTAGACTTCATATAGCACTGTCTTTTCAAACAACTCAAATTTTAGAGCTGGATTTGGATGCTCTATCTGGATGCTGGATGTGGATCAAGGGTTGCTTTGAAGAACAACATATCACATTGGCTTATGACCTGCACTTGCTTCTTATTTGTCAAAGTGTTCTTGTCTTTATGTGATCCTCTTTTTATTGTATGGTGAAGGCTCCTTCTTTGGAGGCTTTTAAGCAGAGGCTGGATGGCCATCTGTTGGGGGTGCTTTGAATGTGACTTTCCTGCTTCTTGGCAGGAGGTTGGACTGTATGGCCCATGGGTTCTCTTCCAAATCTGTGATACTATGATTCTATGATTCTGTGTTTCTATGGACATGATTACATGCTAGTCATGCCAATTTGATCATACCATCCCTGACTTACAATCTTCAGCAGAGGGCTTTCTTTCAGTCCTGTCATTCTCACAGCCATATAACCCAGAATATCAAGGCAGTTAATCCACAATATCTGCTTTGAACTGGGTTATCTGAGTTCACATTACCATATAATCCAGTTCAATGTGGATTTTATACAGCTGTGTGGAAGGAGCCTTAGTCTCATCTGTTTTTTGTTTTTTCCGTGTCAGGAGCGACTTGAGAAACTGCAAATCGCTTCTGATGTGAGAGAATTGGCCGTCTGCAAGGACGTTGCCCAGGGGAGACCCGGATGTTTTGATGTTTTACCATCCTTGTGGGAGGCTTCTCTCATGTCCCCACATGGGGAGCTGGAGCTGACAGAGAAAGCTCAACCCCCTCGCCTCAGATTTGAACTGCTGTCCTGTCAGTCTTCAGTTCTGCCGGCACAAAGGCTTAACCCTGTCTCATCTGATGAAAACATGAGAGACAACCTTCTTGGTGGATGCTCTTAGGTGATGAAATTCCCTTATGGAAGAGGCCTAGTTGACCCCTCTCTATTCCCTTTTATCCAGTAGGCGAAGACTGTATCTATTAAACAAGCATTTGACTTTCAACTGGGGTAGAATAATTTTTAATGAGACGTGCATTATTTGTTTTGGTTAGTATGCCCTGAATTTGTGTTTTTACCATGTGTTGGTTGATTTGGGGACATGTTTGTTTGTTTTAGATACCAGATGGTCCTCTACATTTGTGAGGTTTAGGAGTACGGGACACCTGTAAAATTGGATATAGGTCTACATTTTAATGAAGAGAGTACTTCTCTAAACTTTTTAAGGCCTCCAACACAATTCCATAGAATGAACTTCTCCATAGAATCATCCTGGAGGACTTTTAAATGCCTAGAAAGAGCACTTGTATTGGGGGCATTGGCAGCAAATACAGCAATAAAAAATAAACAAATCCATGAATGCTTAACCTGCAAATGTGAAGGGACAACTATAATGTTTTAATTGGATTGTTTATTTAATTTACCAAAAATTGAGTATATATAATTTGTTGCTGTTGTTTTTATTTACTACTACATAGCAATATTATCTTTGAATTTATATGAAAAGTACTATAAATTTGAGTCTCTTTTTTAGAGAGATGCAAATAAAAATAACTTAATAAACTAAAGTTTCCCATTTCCTTTTCCTGCTCATGACTCACATTCATTTCATTGGCAGTATCCCATTCAAGAAATTAGGTCCTACTTAGCACTTAGCTTTTAGTTATCAAATGGGAATTGATGCCTTTTGGTTATTTATCCACCTATGTATAAATGCCATATTTCACTACATAATAGTTGCTCTTACCCTTTAATCCCTTTTCAAATAATGTGTGTATGACTATTACAAAGTGAAAATTGCCAAGAAAGACCTCGTAGGCCTTAATCACCCACACACCAGCCAATGAAAGTAGTAGGCTTCCTAGCTCTCACCTGCCAGCGTGCAGGTGGGTAAAAGCTCACCAGTTCATGCGCATGCCAGGGAGATGTTCTAGCTCATGCACCTTCACTGCCCATGTGCCTGCCCTTCAGCGATACGAGGTCAGCTCCAAGGGGCAGGCACATAGGCGAGGTTTTATGAGGAATCCTTAAATCCCCAAATCAGGGCCCCAAAAAAGGGGTTGCAACCATTATGGAATGGCGACCATTATGCAATGAAGTACACCTTCCGATTGCCTATTGACCTATGTCAAGGAATACACAGAAATTTTGCTAGTTCTTTCCTTTGAAATGTAGCCTACAGATCCAACTATATTTGTTTGCCATGAAACTGAAGTCAAAGGCACTCTTGGAAGTGAGTTCCCTTACATTCATGCATAGGTTTGTACTGAACGTCTTTCATCCATGTACCTTTAAAACACTTCGTAACTTTTCATTAAATATAGAATGGTAACATGAAATTAGTAGTTAGACATCAGTTCCTAATGTCGGAAGCTTTAAAATGAATTTGTATAAATATGTAGTTTTGAGAACCCTGAGTATCTATCTGCTACTAGCTGTTCCCTGCCACGCGTTGCTGTGGCCCAGTCTGGAGATCTGGAAAATAAAGTAACGAGAAAGCGTTGGTTTCTAATATATGTAATTTCTTTATGCTTGTGGGTAAACAGTATTTCTTGTTGTTTCTTTGTCAATGTTGATGTGGAGATTGTCTGGTTTGCCTACTCTGGAACATACAACATATAATTGTCCTCCTTTAGGGCTCCCTTTCAAATCTATGATACTATGTCTCTGTATGTGTGAATCTATATCTATGGCTGGATGGCTCTTTGTCAGGAGGGCTTTGATTACGTTTTCTTGCCCTGGTGAAGGGAGTTGGACGGGATGGCCTTGAGTATTTTCTGTTGGTCATGGGGGTTCTGTGTGGGAAGTATGCCCCAATTCTGTCGTTGGTGGGGTTCAGAGCGCTCTTTGATTATAGGTGAACTATAAATCCCAGTAACTACAACTCCCAAATGTCAAGGTCTATTTTCCCCAAACTCCATCTGTGTTAATATTTGGACATATGGAATATTCTTGCCAAGTTTGGTCCAGATCCATTATTGTTTGACTCCATGGTGCTCTCTGGATGTAGGTGAACTACAACTCCCAAACTCAAGGTCAATGCTCACCAAACCCTTCTAGTGTTTTCTGTTGGTCATGGGAGTCCTGTATGCCCTGTTTGGTTCAATTCTATCATGCTAATTGATTGTAGGTGAACTATAAATCCCAGCAACTACAACTCCCAAAAGACAAAATCAAAATTTTTGAGTGAAGGACATACATTGGGTTGTTAGGTGTATGTTGTCCAAATTTGGTGTCAATTCGTCCAGTGGTTTATGAGTTATGGTAATCCCACAAACGAACATTATATTTTTATTTGTATAGATTTGTTAGTCTTTCTATTGTGTATCATTAAGAAAGGTCCTTTATTTGTTTCACCAAACATCACACCTCCCAGGCTGCTTCTCTGAAGTTTTGGAAAAACATTGTTTAATATCCACCTTCTGCAAAATGGTCACCATACACACTTTTTATTTTTAATTGTAAAACTTCTTTCTTACCAATATTTTTTTTTAAATAAATAAATTTGGGGGGGGGGTAAAATTAAAGAGCTTAAGTCAATAGAACGCAGAGAAGGACTGTGGCTCAGCAAAAAGACCCAATATTAGTCCCTGTCATGCCTAGGTATCAGAGAATTGGAGAATCACGGTTAACCAGCATGATCACATCTTTTCACAGTATTAAAATAGATTAACTACTGGTTGTAACTTGTTTAAATTAAACATACATAGGTTCATTCTCTAGTCTATCTGTAGAGCCCAATGTGGTAAAGCTGCTAGGAATTTTAGCTCCTTTAGCTCATCACCTTTTATTTTACTCCACTATGCAAGCAGTTTTAGTTATGTAGGTTTGGGGTTTGGTATAAACCTTAAGCAGTTGAATGGGAACATTCATTTATTTATTCTTTATTGTGTATGCGTTCCATCATGGAGTTCAAGACAATATACATGGAGTCAGCAGTAGGTTTCTAGTCCACATATCAAACAGACTCAGGCCAATTTAGCTTCAGCAGAGTGCTTCCATCATATGCTCCTAGGGTCCTTGGGCTACAGGTTTCCCATTCCAGTCTAACTCAATGCTGTCTCCTAACAAGCAGCAAGACTCGAGCAAAGATTGTTCTGAGTTCTACCATATGATTACCTTAGAATGGAAAGACCATGAGAATGTCACACAAAACCTATTGTACAGTAAATATGTTTATGTTATGAACCCAAAGAGGTTCTTTAGGCCTGTTTCATCTGCCCTTCTACATGCATTCAAACATTCATTCTTTACATTTATGTTATTGTAGTTTCCAGGAAAGGTAATGCACATGTGTCTTTTTAGAGAAGGTGGCTCCAGGCCATTTCAGAGTAGAGCCATGCAACTTTTTCACAATGAATATAGCATATTAAAAAAAGATAAAGGACCTCAACTTATTACACAACTTGATTGTATTCAGGTATCCAGCACAGCTAGAGTACCATGCCACTGGAGAACCTGTTTTTTGGAGAACCCTTGAATGTATAGACGTACTTTGATTTCACTTAAGTAGGCAAGTATTTACTGGTGATCAGCAACAAATTGGTTTAGAGGGTGGACATTTTGTTATCCTTTCAGTGCAAATTTGATCTGACTGAGGATACTATCCTCTTATCCTAGATTTCTTCATTGTTGAATCTAAAGATCTCCATGGTAACTCAAACCCCCAGCCTCTTCTCAGCAGCCTGCAAGAAGCAGTTTTCAATAGCTCAGAGGTCTCACAGTCAGGTAAGATGAACAATTCAGGAACAGGACTTTTCAGTGCTGTTTTTACATCAGTTATTTTTCATAATAAAGGAAACATCAAAGTTAGAGAAGAAATCCAAATTCTTGCCTGCACATACTAAATTATAATAATAGCTCTATTTCAGAATATTAGAAAAATAGGTCACTAGTGAAGAATTGCTGTAATTTTACTTAAATGTCAATAGAAACACAACTTAGAAATTCTAGGATAATAACCTAGTAAAGTTAATCTGTTACATCTAAAGTTGGGTAGGTGATGGATTATTCTTGTAATAACCTTTTTATGATGTATCTCCTCTACCTTTCTCCTCCTCTGTTATAGTTGTTAGTTTGGAAAAGTGTGTTTGCATTTTTGCTTAATGCATCTTGCTGTTTTGTGATGACTGTTGTTTGAAACAAGCCAATTTGAACCCTATCTAAGTAAAAAATAACTATAAATTTAGTAACACAACTCCAAAATTAATTAAGCATTCATCAGTGGATGACTAAAAATGAGGACAGGGTACATCTCAACTGTAGAATTAACTCAGGGTAACACCATGGGCCCATCAACATGGCCAGAAAATGCTGTGTACATGTTGTATTAGCTTCAGTCCCCTTTGGGGAGATAAAGCGGGATATTTATTATTATTATTATTATTATTATTATTATTATTATTATTATTATTATTATTATGGCATCCAAACAGTGCACCCAGGCTAATGTGGACTAATCCAGAGTAAACATTTTAGTGCGGTTTACACCCAGATTTTTAAAATACCTTGAAGATCCGGATCTTTGCCGGAATCGAGATTGTGGAGCCTGCCAGGGGGCATCCCCACAGCTATCCTGTGCTTCTTGGCTCAGGCACTCAGGAGGTGGGATGACAGTGCACTGCAAAACAAAGAGAACTCATCCTTCACTGTTCCTGGAGGCTGTCTGATTTCATCTTTGCCCACAGTGATAACACGACGGAGCTTAGAGAGGGAAATCCTCGCTCCCTTCGGCACACTGGGCCAATGAGTTAGGGTTTTGCACACGAGTGTGGCCTCAAAATGTGGTTCTAACCAGTGTTTTTAATGCTGGTTCATTCCGCATTTGGGGCAGAATAGTACCCCATGTTAACTGGCAAAACCATTACTTTTGCATCTGAAATGATTATCCATACCAGGCTTCAGTTAAACTAGCATGTGTTCAAAGACAAATCTAATGTAATTAGACCCTGTGGTCTAAAAAACCGGTTTAGCATACAAAATCAACATGTCTTAACAGCAGTTTTGTGATTGGTTTGATAATTAAGAATGGCTAACCACTGCCTCCTGTAGCAAACCATATAACTGCAATCTATTCAGAAATAATGTTATGGCACCTTACCTGGATTTATTTATTATTATTTATTATTTATTTACTGCACTTGTAGACCGCCGTTCTCAGCCCTAGGGCGACTCACGGCGGTGTACAACATATATGGATCTGTCTCCTTGTTGACAGAAAGCAGGGTAAAGGACTTCCCTTTCCAGCTAAGACGTTTATCCAGACAGCTTGAACTCTGGAATGTCTGATCATGTTCTCAGTCCTGATTTCCTATTTGTTCTGCAGTTCTAATTTCAGGTTTGTCCCCATATTCTAATTATACATACTCCTCCTGACGATATACAGACCACTGCTAATGATCTAGGTCTGGCAGATGTGTGGGTGCCAAAGTATGATCTGTTTGAATTCCAAGCAGTATAGAATTTCCTCTTGCCTGTGGAAATCACATGATTTCTCCTTAGATTACACAATCAATTACATGGATTATATAATTCTGTAGTGTAGAATAACTGTTGAGGCATTTGATAGTATTTCCTAAAACAAAACAGTGAAAGTATGTTTGTGTGTGTGGCTAGATACTTTTATGTCAGGTTCAATAATTTCTAATACTCTTGGCCAAGTAATATTGATTGATTGCTTCACAGTGCATGTGTTTTGTTTTAATATTGCAGTCCACAAGGTATCAACTGTAATAAATTCTATAAGAATGTCAATCGTCAAAATAAAGCCCTCAAGCAATTGTTATAATCATAAATCATGACACAGAAAAAGCATCTGCAGATTACAGAAGCTGATGTACTGAAAATCACAAATTACTAGCAGGAAGCGCAAATAAACAAAACTAGAATAAAAGAACAAGTCATACACTAATAATTTTAAACTTTAGTGAATAATATTTAACCAGTAAATGGGGGAAATTGTAGAAATACTACATGCATACCTCTTTTAACTGAGAAAAGGTGTTTCATAAATTTGTGGGATTGCTTTCTCCCAACTTTTCATTTGGCTCACTGTCAAAGGGTGCAGTATCCTTTTCAGGTCTAAGAGCACACTAAATTATGTTTTTTAAAAAAGAAACAAAAATATCCACATGGCTTGAGTAAAATACAACCATCATCTTTTGAAACATCTTTGAGTAGAACATGAAAATATATTTAAAAAATTAAAAAATGCCCACAGCATTGTCCACATCAGAAGCATCATGATCATCCTCGAACACAAACACAAGCTGATTCCCAACACCTACTAGCTCCACTGCTACCATCAGCGCAGTCTCTTGCCTCACAGAGCACACAATTCCACTATCACAGAAATGTAGTGCCATGCTGAGATGATTCCAATTGTATAAAGATATATTCCTGAGAACTGTGTAGTCCTGAGTTGTCTTGGGATTGGTGGTCATGTTGCTTGGGTAACTGGGTGGGCTCCCCCCGCCCCAGCTCAGTTCAGAGATCAATGCCTCTGATTATCCAGTTCTTGATCCCTTTGCTCAGAGCACGTCTGCCACCCAGCGTGTTAATTAGCAGGTGACACTGATAGGTTTAAAGGCAATGAGGACAGATGCATCAGTGGCCTCTCTTATTCATCATCTGTCTGAAAGGACATGCAGTATTCCTCAAGGCAGATTGGGAGCATAAAGGACACACTGGATTAGAACTGTGCCAATGTACATGGGCTGCTCTTTATGATGTCTGCAAATACTGTGTGACATATGGGCTAGTAGACTATTTGAAAAGCTATGTTTACTTAATATCACTATTGGTAAATTATATTATTGTATGCTATGCTTTCTTGGCTTAAGATGAGACCATGTCAGTTTTAGAAGACTTTGCAATTCAGGATGACTCAGAATGATGTTGCACTTACTGCTAACACTGAAAACATAATAGAAAGCTCTCTCCTCACCCCCCTCCCCCTCAACATTTGCTTTATATTTTAGCTGCAGCTGCTTTGTGTTCCTTTATTTTGAAGGAGGCATGATGCTTTAATTTTATCTGACTGCATTAACAACTGCATTCAAGGCTAATATGAACCTGACAAGCTCTCAGTTCTATGGAAGACAAATACCATTGTTGTGATAACTCCCTAGAACTGGAGAACAGAGGTATGTGTGTATGACTGAAAGAAATCAGTAAACAGAGCGACAAAGAGATGTCTTTAGTCAGTTTGTGGGAAACAGTTTCTAGGCCAGTGGATGCCTTTGGGACTGTGCAATGAGGCAGCCATAGGAAATCTTAGTATGCCAACCATATTTGATATAGATTTTTGAGACAGTTTTAAACAGAGGATTTTAACGTTGGGATAAGTGATTTTAATGTTTATTTATGTATATAGTTATGTCCTGGCATTAAATGTTTGCCGTTTGTATGTTGTGCTCTACCCTGAGTCCTCTTTGGGGTGAGAAGGGTGGAATATAAATGCTTTAAATAAATAATAATAAAGCGCTAAGATGTATGATGGTTGTTAAAAGGTGAAGAAAAAAGAGGTAGTATAGTTAGGTCAGATACCATTATATTTACCTTTAAAAAAATGATATAGTTGCAATTCTAACAAAAAGAGAACTCATATCCAGAGCATAGGATCAACATATTACTTGTACAAGTACAGGCTTAAGGAGTTGGGCATGTTTAGCCTGAAGAAGAGAAGGCTGAGAGGAGATATGATAGCCATGTATAAATATGTGAGAGGAAATCACAGGGAGGAGGGAGCAAGCTTGTTTTCTGCTTCCCTGGAGACTAGGACACAATGGAACAATGACTTCAAACTACAAGAAAGGAGATTCCATTTGAACATGAGGAAGAACTTCCTGACTGTGAGAGCTGTTCAGCAGTGGAACTCTCTGCCCTGGAGTGTGGTGGAGGCTCTTTCTTTGGAAGCTTTTAAACAGAGGCTGGATGGCCATCTGTCAAGGGTGCTTTGAATGCAATATTCCTGCTTCTTGGCAGGGGGTTAGACTGGATGGCCCATGAAGTCTCTTCCAACTATGATTCTATGATTCTAGGTTAGACGTGTTTTTGTACAAATTTTGTACACAACTCTTTTTGTAATATCAAGTCAAATAATATTATTATTGTGCCTAGCTGTAATTCACTACTTCTCTCAGCACACTGTAATAAGGTTTCTACTTGTTTTGCTTATTAAAGATTGAGTATCCCTCATTCAAAATTCTTGGCACTAAAAATGTCCCATATTTCAGGGGGTTTTTTTGGTTGGAATGCTTCGATATATATAATGGGATGAATATGTTGGAAACTGAACCCTAAATTTGAGTATTAAAGCCATTTGTTTTATATGCATAGCATGCAAGTAATTTGTATACAACATTTTTCATAATTTTATGCATGAAACAAAGTTTGTGCACATTGAAATTTTAGAAAGCAAAAATCATTATCTCAAAGCCATGCAAATGGGCAAATTGAGCATTTTGCATTTTGGAATTGTTGATAAAGGATACTCAATGTTGTACATTCAGTAGCAACCTGTACTTCTTACTGAATGTGTTCTGACTCCATCTGAAAAATAGAAGGGCTACCCTTCTTTTTGTGGTGTTCTGCAGTTTGTGAGAATAGAAGAACCAGCAAAAAAGAGAGAGGAATGAGAAGAAACTTTTTTTATGAGTGTTGTGTGCCTTTAAGTCATTTTTTATTTTTGGTGAAGGAGAGTTTGAGGAATGAGAGAAGAGTGATGGGAAAGACCTGATGGAGTGGAAGAAGAAAGGATACTGAAGCTGAATTCGTCCTGAAATAGTGGCCAGATAGAGGAATCGGGTAGAGTAGAGCTAGGTCAGCTATCTTTTAAATATATTTTATTAAGTTTTTCAGATACAATAAAAGAGGGGGAACATTTAGTTTGTATAGAAAAGTAGGAAAATATAAAGATTTGGCCAATAGAAGAAAAAGGAGAGAGAGAGAAAGAACCCACACCCGAAACTTGGGGTTGGGATTTGGGTAGGGGGTTTAGTTCGACTTCCAATCTTCTTCGCCTTGGATTTAATCGTCTTTAGTCGTTAGATCGCTCTTGATTGTTTGGCAAGCTTCATTACATAGTCTCTCCTAAGAGCATTTCTTATTAAAATTTATCTTATCTCTATCATCCATTTCAGGTTTTCTTGTATCATAAATTTCTTTATTGGTGTCCAGTTTATCCTGGGTATTTTAATAGTCTGCTTTATATTCATCCGTTGGGTTAATTTGTCCATGTTCATAATCTCTAGGATTTTCATTAGCCAATGTTCTTTCGTTCTCCATAGTCTAGCATAGTTTATACTGGCTGCCATCACTAGATAAAGAGTTTGTCCTTATTTAAGTCCACTTCGAAATCTATTATTCCTAAGAGAAAATATTCTGGTTTAAATTCTAGCTTTATGTCTAAAATCTTTTCTATTTTTTTCGTGGATATTCTTCCAATATGATTTGGCAATTTTACAGGTCCACCACATATGGAAGAAGAAGCCGGTTTGTTCTTCGCCCTTCCAACATTTATCATTTGTTTTTGGGTAACATTTGGCCAATTTCTGAGGTTTGATGTACCATCTGTACATCATTTTTAACCAGTTTTCTTTTAAGTCAAATGCATATGTGTATTTGATTTTTTTATTTCAGATTTTCTCCCAATCTTCTAATTATATTGCATGTCCAATATTTGCTGCCCACTTAACCATACAATCTTCAATTAGCTCTGTTTCAGTAGACCATTCTAATAGCTTCTTATATATTTTTGTTATTGTCTTGTTTTCTGATATCAGTATTGTGTTCCAAAAAGTTCCTTTATCCATAAATCCTATTTTTTGTCTTTCTTATAATATTCTCTAATTTGTCTGTATTGGAATCAGGATATTACTTCATCTACCATGCTTAGTTCTTCTTGTTTTTTCGTTATGCACTCCTTATTCTGTTTTTTTTAAAGATATCCTTATATGTTAGCCATTTATCTTGTGCTGTCTCTCTTCTTTGGTCTGCTTCTTGTGGAGATATCCAATTTGGTGTTTTGGTATAAAATCTTTCTCTGTATTTTTCTCAAATGAGCTATGTCAGTTATGAAGAACAATGTTATAGAGGTATCTAGGACAATTCACAGCATGTTGAGAAAGCAAAGCAAGAAGTGTGTGTATGTGTGGAGGGGAATCCGATCCTTAAATGGACAAGATAAAGTTTCTTCTGTGAGTGATTAGTGTACTAGAGATATGAGGTGAAAAACAATGCGTATTGGAATAATCTGAATATATAATTTCTCAGACTGATGAAAAGTGTGGGTTGGAATGAGTGTCTTATGTTTGGGGAGCAGCAAATATATTTTGTTTTGTATTCAGGAATTCACGACTTTGTCAATAGTTTTGAACATTACAGTTTGTCTCTCTGTGATATGGGTCCACGTGGCAATTGTTGTGCCTCCACAATCACTTTGATTGTTTCCCCCTATTTCAGCCCTTTTTAGATAGAGAGAATTAGCATTTTGTGTATAGTTTTGTGGGGGGTAAGTCTAGATAGCCTCTTTCCCTTTGAAGCCTCAGTTGCCCTGCCCCTTTAAGAATCCCCTTAAGGACGGAGCCTCAGGCAACGCATTTCTGAGTCAGCCTTTTTTGGTGACTAGAAGGTGAAGAGAGAGGAAGGTTGGAAAGTCAACAAAATAGAACATCCAGTCGGAGCTGCATTCATGTCTAGTCAGAATTGTCTTCAAGTCCAGTCAGAATTAAGCATTAAGACCATCTTAGAGACAGTTGAACATCACACAAGAAAGAGACAATAGAAGGAGTAAAGATTCAAGAGCCTCCGTTTGGCCAAAACTGTTTCTATCTTTCGGAGACTTTCCCTCTCCTCATATAATAATAATAATAATAATAATAATAATAATAATAATAATAATAATAATAATAATAATAAAAAATAGCACTTTATTTGTACCCCGCTACCATCTCCCAAGGGACTCGGTGCGGCTTACATGAGGTCGAGCCCAAACACAACAATACAGGCAATAATCACAACAATACAAGCAATTAAAATAGAACATAAACGATAAACATATAACATTATCAATAAGACAACATACAGTTAAAACTGTGGGAAGGCCAAATGTAAAAATTAAAATTGGAATAGTGCTGAGGCATGGACGAAAAGGTGATAGTGGTGTTTGTAGGAGACATACGAGCAGTCCTAAAAGTATAAAGTGCTTTGGAGGGACAAAGTGCTATGGGATCATTATTCCAGGAAGGCACACAGGAACAACCATGTCTTCAAGCTCCTCCTGAAGACTGCCAGAGTTGGGGCCTGCCTGATGTCCTTAGGGAGTGAGTTCCAGAGTCGAGGGGCCACCACTGAAAAGGCCCTCTCTCTCGTCCCACCAATCGCGCCTGCGTTGCCAGTGGGATCGAGAGCAGGGCCTCTCCTGATGAACGAAGAGATCGTGTGGGTTCGTATACAGAGATGTGGTCACGCATAAAGGCTTTGTAGTGAGACTCAGGAGGAGAGAGTCTAAAATTCTTGTTAATTAATAAATTCTTGGCAGGGGGTTGGACTAGATGGCCCATGAGGTCTCTTCCAACTCTATGATTGTATGTTTCTATGATTCTATTATTCTTGTTTGATTCAACTATATAGTCTCTGATCTGTTCCCTGCACAGCCAGTTCACCTTCCAAGTAGTTAAGATAGCATGGGGGCAGAACAGCGATGTTTTGCAAATGGATAACCAACATGGCAGGCAAAACTAAGGGGACCCCGTTACACTTTCCCCAAATTCAAATGTTCCCATCATTCCACAAATATTGGAAACAATTTTCTCAGTTCATATCAGACTCCTCCTGAACTTTTCTTGATTTGTTAGGTACCACCACAGAAACCACTTCCCCTGCCAACCCATAGGAAACCAATATTTTTGGGATCAACATTTGGCAGCTTTAATTTATATGTAAACAAGATAATTGAGGTGTTCTGGTTCAGTTCATAAATGGGTATGAATAGATTCTTCCATGAAGGGCAATTGTAATTTTTCCACAAGTCCATTGTAGGAACACAAGTCAGCCTCCACAAATAATTATGTCTTTAGTATGAAAAAATCATTCTTGCATATCTGAACTTATCTGGTTCTGAGAACTGTTGTCCTATTTCTGCTTCTCCTTGGAGATTTAGGATAAACTTTTAAATCTCAGTGTTGTTGTGGTTATTGTTGTTTTTAAAAAGGAAAAAGGGTCTCAAAAGTGGGTCAGGGTGCAGAATACAACACAGTCATGCTAATTAAGAGAGTTGCGGGGTTCTCTCTCCAAAGCACCGAGCGAGAAGGAGATCAATACAGCAAAGACTCTTTTCACCGTGGAGTCGAGGGAGTTGGAAAAGATCCACTTCTGCTTTCAGACCTTAAAGGCTGGAGGCTGATGTCATTAAGAAAACCAATTGAGGACTGAAAACGAAACCAAGCAACCCTAATAAGTTCCAGCCAACATTACTCCAGGCATTACTCCAGGTGACCAAAAGCATCATGTTGTGCTGGTAATGGTTTGCAACAAGGATAATGGGAGTCAAAACCCAGGAAACACAGGATTGGCTGTGTAAACAGTTGCAGCCAATCCCATCTTTACATGGAACTTGAGGTTCACTCCAAATTCTGGGACAAAATTTGGAGCATCCCACAGCTTTTGTTAATGTGGGTCAAGGCTTCATTCCACAGCTTTGCCCCATGTTAAACCAGATCAGCTCCATGCATAGTTTGGCTGCCCTTTGCACTAAGTGTTCGGTGTAGACGTGCCCACAAACTCTGACATATCTGGGGTCAAGCTCTGAGCAAGTAAAGGCAAGTATCTTTCTCTTCAAAGTGTGTGGCAAATTTCTCACAGCATGTAATGGGGTCTGATCCCAACAGGCTTCTCTCCACAACTGTGCTAGGCAGCATGGACAAGGTTGTGATAATGGAGACAGAGTATGATTTTTTTTCTCCCTCTTACCCTTTTTGCCAATTTTATAGCTACATCATATGCAAAACAAAGACAGCACAGCATTCGTCCCCTCCACTCGTTTTTCATCTCCATCCCGTTCACATGCACACAAGAGCCGCTTTGTTCAATCCATAGATATTCCTTCTTCGCCACCCTTTGCAGAAAATATTTTTCTACTTGAGGATGTATTGCAGTTCCACAGACCTTGCCAACACTCTCCACTTGGTTGTGGATACAGTGCCATTTTTATGATTCAGCTAAGATCAAATTTTGCAGAATACACTTATGATTACTGTGCAGGATACAGCAATTTCTTCATAAGCTTTTACCCAGTGGGTGAAGCATTTAATATGTACTAGTACAGATGGGGAAGTAAAGTGAGGCATGTATGTACAAGGGAGCAAAGAGAAAATCCCCCCTTTTCTTTACAAATAAATAGACTTCTGTTTCTATTCGTGTCACACATCAATGTGATGCTTTGTCCTCTGATGCTTAATCATGAAATGGCACAGAAAGCAATTCTCTGTAGTTCTGCAGCTGTGAAGCTACCTCAAAAGAAAGAATTTGAGTTTTTCTTTTCTTCCTATCAAAAGAGTTGGCCAGGTAGCTAGGGAACAGACATCTCCCCGTGCTGTTCATTGGCCTTAACTTTTGGAATCCAAATAGCATAAACAATTTGAAATAATAACAGATGGCTGCAGTTCTAAATTAGGCAGCACATTTTTTTCTGGTTATGGGTTTTCCATCCTCTCTGTAAAGTACCAGTTTGAAGTGCCAGTGATTCTGTAGTAGTTTCTGGATGGGATATAAGTGAATTCTTTTGTCCAAGACAATAGGATAAGGTTGCTCTTTTGTTCTCG